CAACTAGTCAATACACACACCAAAACCGAAAAAGAAAAACATTAAGTTAAAAAAATATCTTACTCAGTATTCCGATCTTTTTCCCTTTCAATTCCAACATATCTAAAGCTCAAACACTCTAAACTTTTAAAGAAATCTGTTTCTGAATAGTTCACGTTTCAAATCAAGGAGGTATTTAGATATTTGGTCTTTTCGTTGAGAGGTATTGAGTCTTTTCTTTGCTCTATCCTTAACTTTGAGAATATGTGCTATATTTCAGCCATCTGAGTTGCTGCATTATAATGTTTTCCCCAGCGAATTCTAACATAAATGATGGTCCAAAAATTCTAACTTTTCCAAGAAATCAGATCCTTAATAGTCAACTATTCAAATCATGCAGGTACATGTTTATAGATAATTGGCCATTTAGTTAGATAAATATTGAGTCGTTTCATTGCTCTACCCTTAACTTTGAAAAATTGTACATATTTCACGTTATCACATTTGTATCATTGCGATCAGTTCCCCTCTCAATTCTGACATAAACTAAAGCTCCAACAATTGAAATTTCTAAAGAAATCTGTGCTGGATAGTCCATGTTGTAAATCAAGGAGGTATATAGATATTTGGCCAATTAGCTAGATAAGTATCTAATCTTTTCTTTGCTTTTCCCTTAATTTTGCAAATTTGTATTTATTTCACCTCATCGCATATGCAGTATTTTGATTTTTCCCCTCTCTTTTCCGACATAACTAAAGCTCCGACACTCTAAATTTTTAAAGAAATCTATTCCCAAATAGCCCATGCTTCAAATCAAGGAGGTATATAGATATTTGGCCTTTTAGTTTGAGAGCTATGGAGTCTTTTTGTGTTTCTACCCTTAATTTTGAAAATTCGTTCATATTTCACCCCATCTCATTTGGGGCATTCCGATGATTTCCCATCTGAATTCTAACTTAACTGAAGGTCGGAAAATGCTACATTTTCCAAAAAATCAGTTGGTAAGTAATCAATGATTCAAATTGTGTAAGTACTTAGATATTTAGTTTAAGAGGTATTGAGTCTTTCCATTGCTCTACCCTTAACTATGAAAATGTGTACATATTTCACCTCATCACATTTGTAGCATTCATATCTTTTCCCCTCTCAATTCTGACATATCTAAAGCTCCAACACTCTAAATTTTTAAAGAAATCTGTTCCCAAATAGCCCATGCTTCAAATCAAGGAGGTATTTAGATATTTTGCCTTTTAGTTTGAGAGGTATGGAGTCTTTTTGCATCTCTACCCTTAATTTTGAAAATTCGTACATATTTCACCCCATCTCATTTGGTGCATTCTGATGTTTTCCCATCTAAATTCTTACATAACTGAAGGTCAGAAAATTCTGAATTTTCCAAGAAATCAGTGGGAAAGTAATTAATGAATC